GGCCTGGTGCACTGGGAAGACCCAGAGGGATCGGGTGGAGAGGGAGGTGGGAGGGGGGACCGGGATGGGGAATACATGTAAATCCATGGCTAATTCATTTCAATGTATGACAGAAACCACTGCAATGTTGTAAAGTAATTAGCCTCCAACTAATAAAAATAAGTGGAAAAAAAAATTTTTTTTAAAAAGAGTTGGACCATAAAGAAAGCTGAACACCGAAGAACTGATGCTTTTGAACTGTGGTCCTGGAGAAGACTCTTGAGAGTCCCTTGGACAGCAAGGAGATCAAACCAGTCAGTCCTAAAGGAAATCAGCCCTGATTATTGGAAGGGCTTATGCCGAAGCTGAAACTCCAATACTTTGGTCACCTGATGTGAAGGGTCAACTCACTGGAAAAGACCCTGATGCTGGGAAAGATTGGGGGAGGAGGCGAAAGGGGCAACAGAGAACGAGATGGTTGGATGGTATCACCTGACTCAGTGACTGACATGAGTTTGAGCAGACTCTGGGAGACAGTGAGGGACAGGGAAGCCTGGCGTGCTTCCAGGCTTATGGGGTCTCAAAGAGTGGAACACGACTTAGCGACTGAACAGTGAACACCAAAGGAGCTGGTGAAAAGTTTATAAATACCTTTTGTTTACTAAAACTAAATAGAGACACTTAAGATATCAGTGTCACTTTATCCTTAAGTTAGAAATAATGGCTCAAGCTATTCATTTCTATTTACTCTCCCTGAGTTTACTTTTCAGTCTCTTCCGTTGAAGTTTCAAAGAGATAATTGGGCACGTTCTCTGCTGCGTTGTAGGTGGTACACATATTAGAGTCTTGTTTTGGGGGGGGGGGGGGGTCTCCTTAAAATTGTAAAGACTTCCTGGTTTTTTGGCTTGGGAATGATCATTCATCCACCATCTCATCATAGTCCGCTGACTCCTTTCTTATGTGTAACACCTGAGTGTCTTCTAAGTGTCTAGTATAATTTCCTTCCTCACCAAGGCTCTTACAAAGTGCTGTTGCAAGAACATTTCCTTTGTTCTGATGGCAGATGTTGTCTGCCATCCCTCTTCACTCCCACCTCTAGTTTCTTCTTTTAAATACTCTCCACTGCAGAATGTCTTACAACTTGGCTAATCTAGAGATCCCAGAATCTGGATTCTCATGGATATTGCAAAGTTCTCATATAGTCAGATTTTATATAAGAGAAATTGAAGATTGGGCCAGATTGCTATCATCTTCAGTGATGATAAGTATAAACATCTGTGGATGCTGACTTCTCCTTATACTCTTGTTTCCATTTCAGAGGTTAGCTTACTTTATGAACAACAGCAATTTGTTCTTACTGCTTTTCTTTTACATCCAGATCTTATTGTCCCCTTAGGAACACCAAGCATGTTTATTTCATTTGGTTAGTACTTTTATTTTCTAAATTACCCTTCCTCTTGTATTTAACCAGTATATCTTAACATCTGTGGTGTTTAAAACTCTCCTAAATGTAGAATAAATACACTTAGATGGGGAGTGGGAAGAGTGGAAGAGCGGGATTAGCATGGAAGATCGGCCAGTAGGTGGTTTGAGTTGTGTAGACATGAGGGAGGCATCCGCGATTTCAAACAGGGGAAGGACTTAATCTGAGCTAGGCTTTATGAGGATGCCTTGGTCATTGGTATATACACTAAGCTAAAAGGAGGAAAGATTACAAGCTGACAATTACTATAAGGAAAGTTTATTTTTCAAGTAATTATTGACAGTATGAAAATATAAAGGAAGCTTCTGATTCTAGGAAATTGATGTTCTCATTGATCTGCCGTGGGATTTTGTTGAAACTCCAAACTAAATATTCCCTTTCCTGACACTTTGGACTGTGTGTCCCAACCTAGAGTAAATATAGATCAGAGAGATGAATTTCTAAGCCTGTAGACCTAGGTTAAGAAAAAAGAATCATTACTAAAGCATATTTGCTTTGGGAAAACAGGTTCCCTTTTTTGTGGACCAGAATTTCACTGTTGACATAGTTAGGTTTCACTTAATGTGAAATACCTAGGAAGATGAGTGGCTTCCATGTGACAGAAAGAAAAAAAGGGAATATATAGCGAAGTAAAATGTCTATTGTGTCTGTCTGCACCTGACACATGACCTTAAAATAGTATCATGAAGTCACCATTAGGTTTCATCATATGTAATGCACTTGTTGACTATTAACCATTACTTGGAAATTACTGACTCTGCTCACATCTCCTTTCAAGAGGGCAGGCCTTGTTCAAATAAAGATCAAGTCCATATCCTTAAGTTGCATGTAACCTTTCATGACTCCAGCTTATGCCATAGTAAAACATTTACTTTTACTATCACTAGCTTGCTGGCTTCCCCTCCCAACACGGTGACATTTTTCAGTATAAACCAAGAGTGGGGGTGGGGGGAAGAATATAAACCAGGAATGGAGAAAGAAAGAAAATATGTTTGGATTTTAAATAAACCTAGGAGTTTTTTGGTTATTAGAAATTCAACGAAATACACTTGTGTGTTTCCTAAGGCCATATTGCCCAAGCTGTGGCCTGTGCTTTGTGGATTCGCCTTTGCTATTTCCTCGAATCATTGATTACAAATTATGTCTTCAGTTTGTATTGTATAAAATATGATAGTGTGTAAAAATTGGATCATGTAACTCTAGTGGCACAGTTACCGTAGATACTGCTACTCTGAAAGTCTCTCTCTTCCTTTCCAGTGAACTTGGAGAAATTCCCACATTAAAAACACTACAAGTCTTTGGAATCGTGCCAGACGGTACCCTTCAACTGTTAAAGGAAGCCCTCCCTCATCTACAGATTAATTGCTCCCATTTCACCACCATCGCCAGGCCGACCATTGGCAACAAGAAGAACCAAGAGATATGGGGCATCAAATGCCGACTGTCACTGGAGAAGCCCAATTGTCTATGAAGCCTGTATTGCAAGATGGTGTCTCCTCTTTTCTTTGAACAGGGAAAGTAAGAAGGAAGCCCAGTTGTGGAGAACTCAGCTATTTTTATTCTTGGTTTTCTGTTGCCTTCCTTCTACAAGTATATTAGAGAACCATTGGAGAGAGAAAACTATGAAGTATTGCTTTTTAGAAATGACTATGAAAGCTTTTATCACTGCTATACTCTTAAGAGCCTAAGCGCTATGCTTTTTGAAATTTTAGGAAGAGTGAGCCTATAATTTTAAGATACCTTAAATAGCAAAATTTGAACCACATCTTCCAAGGCCATGCTTCATAAATCTATTTAGAATCAAGCTTAAAAATCACCACCAGCAAATCATTTGTGTAGCCTATATGGCAGCTGAACTTTCTTCTATTTAATTTTTCAGCACTGCTTTATTTTAAGACATAGGTTGCAAAAAATAATAAGCTATTTGTATTGTAAGCTGAAAAGAATGAGAATCATAGAGTAGATGTGAAGCAGTCTCTTCTGAGGATAGCAAGAAAAATAGACATTTCAATGGTGCCTTTAGATTCGCAATCAGGTTGATGGAAACAAATAGCCCAGGTCATTCACCTTAAAACCTAAATAAACAAACAAACAATCGGCCAACGAGAGGTGTAGAATCTGTGTAGAATTCAAAGACTCAAGAGGCAGTTTTCTATAACAGGTTAACCTGGGGTATCCTCTAGTGCACATTAATGATGTCTCCTTTATGTACAGCTGGGAAGGTCACCTGGAGGAGGAAATGGCAACCCACTCCAGTATTTTTGCCTAGAGAATCCCATGGACAGAGGAGCCTGGCATTTTTTTTTAATGATACATAGAAGAAAAAGGACTAAATTCTACTTAAACACACACACACAACACAAAACACTAATTTCTTGTTTAAATCGATGACCTTCCCATATATTCAAAATGGAGCAAAAAGCCCAAACTCATCATTTCTATTAACATTGCTTTTTAAAAAAATCAGATCTTTCAAATGTTAGAAACAATGGTATGAAGTGCCCTTATCTGCTCAAACCTAAGGAAGAACATTTTTATAAAGTAGTGTTACACGGGAAATGATTAGGTTTCAGTTTTGTAGTAGTTTAAAAGTGCTACATACTACTTGAAATTATTGTTTACAGATTAGTGCCACGGGCTGGAGGGAGGATCCGGTCGGCCTCTGATTTCCGGATGCCCTCACACATACAGTACTTCCAAACTCAAGTCCAGCCATAAGCTATTTTGCTAACACGTCAGAGTAATCTGTATTTTTGTATGTGATTTCTACTTTTATAGACTTGTTTTAAAATAAAACACATTTTTATAAAAACGAATACTTCAGCTAAGTTGTATTCCTTTTTTCCTTCTCTGTTTTTCTTAAGCACTCTGGTTAAAACGAGCATTAGGTATGGTGTGAGATGTATCTCAGCCCTCTGAATGTGTGTGTGTGTGCTAAGTCATGTCCTACTCTTGCAACCCCATGGACTGTAGCCCGCCGGGCTCCTCTGTCCATGGGATTTCCCAGGTAAAAATGCTGGAGGGGGCTGCCATTTCCTTCTGCAGGAGATCTTCCTGACCCAGGGATCAAACCTGCATCTCCTGCGTTGCAGGCAGATTCTTTATCACAGAGCCAGCCACCAGGGAAGCCCCAACCCTCTGAACAAGGCACTTTAAAACAAGCCGTAACATGGTCCCTTTTGCTTCATCTACTTCATGTGTTGTCAAATTAAAATGTTTATAATTCTTTGACAAGGTAGTAAATACAGGCTTGTTATGGTTAAAGTGCTTCTTAAAGTATTAACATATTTTATAAGACATTTGAGATTAAGTGATAAGTACTATCAATAAAGTATCAAGTACTATGGATAAAAATCAGCTCATAGCACTTTTTAAATACAGACTTGATCAGCTTATGCTGTGCATTTTATTCTCATTAGCAAACTCTTTGAATAGTTTACCCTATATCCAGAGATCTTCTAGGAATTAACTCCTTTTGAACACATTCAAATGGTAGAATGGTGATTTCTTCCTGAATATTACCCAGTTTTCTGCTTCCTTTTTAATATCAATACCATGCTTCATTTTATCAAAAATGTCAAATGCAAAAGGTAAAGATGGTGAACTTCATTTCTTGCTTTCAAAGGTCATTAACTCATGACCAATCTCATTTCATCCATCTCTCGCATCCAATCAAAGAAGGCAATGGAAACCCACTCCAGTATTCTTGCCTGGAAAATCCCATGGACGGAGGAGCTTGGTAGGCTGCAGTCCATGGGGTCGCAAAGAGTCAGACATGACTGAGCGACTTCACTTTCACTTTTCACTTTCATGCATTGGAGAAGGAAGTGGCAGCCCGCTCCAGTGTTCTTGCCTGGAGAATTCCAGGGATGGCAGAGCCTGGTGGGCTGCTGTCTATGGGGTCGCACAGAGTCGGACACGACTGAAGCGACTTAGCAGCAGCAGCAGCTCCCATCCCATAGACATCACCTGCTCACAAGATCACTTTTGAGGCAAAACTGAGACCCATGACTTCATGAATAGCTCAGTATCTACCTGAAAAATAGTCTTCTGATTTAATTCTGAAACATTAAATATCAAGATGATGTTGAAAGTACCCTTGCTATCTAAAAGCTGTTTTCTTACATAGATTTGTTTTGCTCAGGCTCCAAACACAGATCATACTTTGAATTTGGTTGACAGTGACATTTTCTTTAGTTTCTTAATCTTAGTGTTCCTTTTCTTTATTATCCTTACAATTTACGTATGGAAGAAACTAGGTTGCTTGTCCAGTGTTCTCCATTCTGGATTTTACTGATGTGATCCATCCCTGGAATAATGTTTAACAGGTTCATGTGTCCCCTATTTCCATAAACTGGTGGTTAGATCTAGCAGCAAAAAGCTCCTAACCAAGAGTGAGCTTGCACCCAAGAGACACTGGTAACATCTGAAAATGGCTTTGATTGTCACAAGTGGAGAGGAGCTATTGGCCTCCAGCAGGTACATACCAAGGATGCTGCTAATCATCCCACAATAGCTAAGACAACTCCCCACAATAAAGAATCATCTGACCCAAAACCTCAGTGCCAGTGTTGAGAAACCCTGATCTAGAGGCTTAGTTTGTCAAGGTTTTTTTGAACATCACAGCAAGGAGACAGGATAGGTGGTATACTGTCTTCCATCAAGAGGCACACACCATATGCTTTTCATTCTTTTTACAAATCAAGATTGCCAGGAGAAATATCTATAACCTCAGATATGCAGATGATATCACTAATGGCAGAAAATGAAGAACTAAAGAACCTCTTGAGAGTGAAAAAGCTGACTTAAAACTCAACATTCAGAAAACTTAAGATCATGGCATCTGTTCCCATCACTTTATGGCAAATAGAAGGGGAAAAAGAAGCAGTGACAGATTTTATTTTCTTGGGCTTCAGAATGACTACAGATGGTGACTGCAGCCATGAAATTAAAAGATACTTGCTCTTTGGAAGGAAAGCTATGATGACTAATGATCTACAATGTAGAGGACAGGGCAAGGTCTAGAACATGAGGAAAGGCACTAACTGGTCCAGGAAAACTGGAAACACCTTTCCATTGGATAACCTAACCTTGGAACAAACAGAAGGCAACCTTCTCTCTCGTTACCTCTCCTCTTCCCATCCCCACCTGGCCAAAGGTCCCAGAAAGTCAAAAAGCTCTCTCCACCAAGACCCTAACTCCTTATACAGGTTGAAACCCTAAAGCCTAAACTCATTTTAGAGATTTGTTTTCCTTTAGTGTTTGAGTTACTTTTTAGTGAATCTAAATATCAAGATGCTGATATTTTGGTATTCCTTAAACCAAATATCAAAATATCTACCTTGTACATTTGAGCAGTAAAATCATTATATTTAAGGTCTTCAGATGGCAGGGGCTGTGACTGATGAGAGACAAGAAGGCAGACTTTTTTCCACAGATACACATTTTAAATTAACAGGCACACTGGAATTGATCATATCCCAACCATCACCATGCATTTCATGTGTTTTAAACAAAACCTGGTCATTTACATTGGCTCTTAAAATGTCTTTTTATTCAAAACTATTACTTTACTACTCAGGATAGTAACTGTAAGTTAACTTGCAGTGGTATTGCTGCAAGAACCAGAAAATAGAGGGGTTAGTATCTGGTGATATTTTAATCCAAAACTACATGGTAAGTGGATAATCCACAACAACCCATTTCAAAGACTAGTGGAAATACTTCAAAGATGAATAGAATGATTTTGTGAAAAATCACTCATCATAAAATGATGCTTTGAAGGAAAGTTCTGAAGCAGGAGGAAATAGCTATTTAACAAAGCTTAGTTACCAAAGGTATTTTAAATAGATTTTCTTGTGAAAGTCGCTCAGTCGTATCTGACTGCTTGTGACCCTGTGGACTATACAGTCCATGGAACTCTCCAGGCCAGAATACTGGAGTGGGCAGTCCTTCCCTTCTCCAGGGGGATCTTCCCAACCCAGGGATCAAACCCAGGTCTCCTGCATTGCAGACGGATTCTTTCCCATCTGAGCCACCAGGGAAGCCACTTGTGAAAGCAAAAAACCAGTCTAGTATGATGACAGCCTCACAAATCATTCAAGTTCTCTTCAATCATTTAAAGAGAATAGGTGTAGGGGGGAAAAGAAAAGTTGCAGTTGGGGAAGACATTTTAAAAGAATGGTTAAAAAAAAAAGTTCCTCAAATACTGTCCTACTCACTGCAACTATCAATACATCACCCCCTGACATACAGAGACTCCCTAACAGTGTTGTTTCAGCATGTAAAACCATCATTTATTATAATAGATTTCTTCTCTAGCTATGCAGGTTTTCACGTATTCTTTGTACAAATCAGAACACACAATCCCTACTCCCAGTGAGCTCACAATCTTCTGGTATAAAAAGGTGTGTATTGTTCAGATAGAGCTCTTCAACAGTCTCTTCAGGATCCCAAGTTTTGAATTTTTTTTAACCACTGATGATTATTAAAATTTTCTAAAAAAATCTATCATAAAATAAAGCCTATGACACTTAAAAAAATATTCTTTATACGTTTCTTCATGTAGAAAACTTATATATAAGCCTTCTTGTTGACTTACACCCTAATCCTTCATGGTTACTTTAATGTTAAGGAATAAACTGCATTTAAAATAATTCTTCTTTCCAGTTCAGCAGTTCATGTAATATGATTTTGATTTACTGGGTCCATGAATATAAATACATATGGAACATCAAAAACATTAACTCAAAAATATCTGAAGAATCTACATTTACCAGGAAGCACTGTGTCACATATTAGCAGTGAATGAAGTCAACAGGGAAAAAAATAATAGTGTGGAAAAAAGACATGAAATATAATATTTTGGGGCAATCTGGTTTTCAAATAATGACCCATAAGAGCTGAAGAAATAAATGAACTAAAAAAGAAAAGATAACAATGGTTTACTTTTATTCACATGTAGTTGCCATTAAAAGGAACTCATTCATAAGAACATTTTTGCTATTCTAACAACCTTTGCCTCTCGTCATCTCGTACAAATAAATCCCACAACTGGTCAGAAATGTTAGAGGTTCTATCACAAATGGAGCACATTAAGTAGTTTTTAAACCTTTAAATTATGGCTTATAAACAATTTTACACAGCAGGTTACCTATTAATATATTACATATTAAACAGATCTATGTACCATTTTGGACAATCAGATTTCCATGATATTAAAGATGGAGTTGGCATTTTTGTCAAAAAGGTATTTTAAACCTGTTAGGGAGTTTCTATAGTGTGGAATTTTACTTCTTTTAAAGTGGTATCTTAAGTATATCATTATTAAATCAAACCAGAAACTAGATCCATCTCTGGGAAAACACCAATTTTTATTGTATGCATGATGTAAACTCCTCGTGAGTAGTATCTATGCAGTTACTCTCAACTAAGAAAAACAAATTCTTGTTCTGGATATACATCAAAACCTAAGATTATCTTTGTATAATAATAGTACTTAAAAAAATCTGACAAGAACATGATAAATGTTGCCAAAACTAAGAGCACTTGGTTTAATTACACATCCTAGTTTTCACAGAAGCTACTTCTGAGCTCACCAGATTCAGTTCTATCAGGATAGCGGCTGTTCAGATCACCAGTGTACATCCAGCACCCAACACAGTATATGGCACAGAGTCGGTGTTCAATAAATATTTCAGTGATTGAAGACAAATTTTTAACAGCAAGTGGGAAAAAAAAATACAATTTTGAATAACTGGAATAAGAATACCAATTGTCTCATGATGCAGCAAGAGGAACTTTTTGTGATAATTCTAGGATTACTTATAAGTAAAGTGGGAATTAGGTAAAGAAACTGTCATAATGGGAAAAAAAGAAAAGCCACAACATTTTATCCTCCAAATCTAATGTGTAAAACTTGGAATATGAGCTAGGTGAAAACTACCATGATAATAAGTAAGGCAAGTCCAAAACTAAAATGTTTTGCATATTTATTAAACAGTCCACTTTCTTTCTGACAATACTCCTAACACTAGATGAAAATTTTTATAGGTTTTACCAAACTCATAATAGAATGTGCCTAATCAGTTCATCCTTTTAGTCTTTAAATCCATGTTAGAGAGTTTTAAATATGGAAGAACTTTACCAGCCTCAAATCATTACAAAAAAATTACCAAAGACCTAAAATAATTATTGGCTAATACATTTGTAATAGAGCCATGATTTTGTCTGTATATATTTCACCCAACATTTTCAAAATTAACCTGATAGTCAATTAAATGAAAACATCCATAAATAACTTCAAAAATGATTGAACTTTTTAAATCAATAGTCATAACAATATCATTGTGTTCTGAAATTAGAAAACTCTTGGCAGATATATAAAAACACATTTACCTACTTCAATTAGGTCAATGTCAGGATTTATCAAAATTCTCCATCAAAGTTTTTTTAAAAAATCTTGATCTTTAGGTACTATAAAAAAAATACTAATCAAATGAGATGTGTTTGGTCTGACCAATTCCACAAAGTGAGGAGGAAAAGGAAGGAAAAAAAAAAAAACTTGTACAGTTAAATTTCAAATCCTAAACATTAAATCTTTTATTTGCGCCCTACCTCTCTCAATTTATAAAGATACCAGCACTCTTGGAAACCAACTGCAAGCAGTATCAAAATTTCACTGTTATGAATTCTCATCAGTTTAGTCCTCCATTTTCTTACACAGTGAACATCTTTTCCATCAGAATCCATCAGAAGAATAATGCAAATCTCACTTTCTTGGTTGCCTTTCAGCCCAAGGCCAAGCAGTCTGAACAACAACCAAAAACTGTAGCTTTATGACTGGTAGGCTGTTTCTGCAGTAAAACTATTTCTCTGGCAATCAAAATGGTCATCTGAGGCAATCCTTCACTGCTCTAGAAGCACAGTTCGAAGCTCATCTTCTTTCTCGATCAACATTGAAGCAATGGCTCCATCATTAAATTCAAAGGAAGTTCCTCCATCCACAACCATGCATGCATCCCAACACCGAGAACGCACACACACCCTAGGCAGAGAGAGACATCTTGTTAAATATCAACACTTTGCTTAAACTGCAATTCCTTTAAAACACTGAGTTTTCATCTAAACTGGCAGGTAGATCATTTGGCCTTGATTTTTAAAATCAAGTTGCCCTGCCCTTTGTTATGAGAAAATTAGTGACTATGTCAATATGAGTACATTACCCAAGAAAATCTCGAAATGTTCAGGATAGTTCCATTTACCCAAACACTTAAAAGTGAACAAATTCAGACTTGATGGAACTCATAGGAGCTTTTTGAACATTATTACCATTACAAGTATTTTAAATGTTGAGCAAGAATGTAACTACTGTCATGTAAAATTTTTACTTATATACAGAAAAGGCACAAATTATCAGCATACAGCTCAATGAACACACTTGTGTTATCATCACCCAAATTAGGAACTGAATGTTACACTCAGTTCCTGGGAAGTTCCCTCATTGTTCTTAACCCATCTCCCAGTCTCTACTCCCAGCCCCTCCTTCCCAAGCATATCCACTATCCTAATTTCAATTACCACAGTAATAATAGCTTTGTCTATTCTTGAAACTCTATATAAATGGAAGAATACAATAGATATGCCTATATCTGGCTTCTTTTGCTCAATAGTATGCTTGTGATCATCCATGTTACCATATGTAGCAGCACTGGGTTCATTTTCATTGTTGTCTGAAAACGCCTGCATTGTACGAAAATACCAAAATTTAAGTATCCCTTCTACTATGCATGGACATTAGGGTTTTGATCTATTGGGAACATTGCTGCTCTGAATATTCTTGAGTATGTCCTTTGGTGCCTACATATCTGTCAGGGTATATACTTCTGCTGGATATATATCTTGGAGCAGAATCACGGAGTCACTGCACGTCCTATATTCAGCTTTGGTAGGTAACTGCCGAACAATTTTCCATATTATTCCTAACAGTATAAAAGTTTCATATAAAAGTTCTAGTTGCTCCACTTTTATATAAAAGTTGTAGTTGCTCCACCTTATCAACAACTGGTATTTTAGCTAGGCTGGTGAGTGTGTGTGGCATTGTATTTGTTCAGTCGCTCCGTCATATCTGACTCTAAGCGACCCCATGAATTGCAGCACGCCAGGTTCCTCTGTCCTTCACTATCTCTTGGAGTTTGCTCAAACTCATGCCATTGAGTCAGTGATGCCATCCAACCATCTCATTCTCTGTCGCCCCCTTCTCCTCCTGCCCTCAGTCTTTCCCAACATCAGGGTATTTTCCAATCAGTCAGCTCTTCACACCAGGTGGCCAAAGTACTGGAGCTTCAGCTTCAGCATCAGTCCCTCCAATGAATATTCAGGACTGATCTCCTTTAGGATTGACTGGTTTGATCTCCTTGCAGTCCAAGGGACTCTCAAGAGTTTTCTCCAGCACCACAATTCAAAAGCATAAATTCTTTGGCACTCAGCCTTTTTTAAGGTCCATCTCTCACATCCTTACATGACTGTCGTATTATATGATATAGTTTTAATTTATATTTCTCAGATGAATAAGGTCAAGGATGTTTCTCCATACACTTATCAGCCATTTGGATATTCTCTTTTGCGAAATGCCTGTCTAAGACTTTCAGCCATTTTTCTAAGGGGTTACCTGCCTTCTTTCTTACTGACTTGTAAGAATTTTTGTAATATATTCTGGATATGAATCCATTGCTAGACAGAGATACTATTTCACTCTGTGGCTTGCCTCTATTTTCTTGATGGTATCTTGATTAACATAAGTTAATAACTCTAATTTAGTTCAACTTGCCAATCTGTTGCTAAGAAATAGTTTCCAACCAAAGTCATAAAGCTATTCTCCTACTTATATGAGCAAACATTTAAACGAATCTTTTAGTCTTACCCAACCTGAGTACAGATTTGTTGATTAATCAAAATTAATTCTCAAATGATTAAGTGATTTTAAAATATGATCACTATCCTTTTTAATGTCTTTCCTAGAAAAAAATCAATTATGCGTTTTCAAAAAAGTACATGCACACTGTAAGAAGCAATTTGTAATTGAACTATTCTTTGCTTGCCATGAGATGAAAAGTGAAAGTGAAAGTCACTTAGTTGTATCTGACTCTTTTTTAGTGGACTATAGCCTGCCAGGCTCCTCTGTCCATGGAATTATCCAGGCAAGAATACTGGAGTGGGTAGCCATTCCCTACTCCAAGGGGATCTTCCCAACCCAGGGATCGAACCCAGGTCCCCTGCATTACAGGTGAATTCTTTTTCATCCGAGCTACCAGGGAAGCCCAAGAACACTGGAGTGGATAGCCTATCCCTTCTCCAGGGGATCTTCCTGAGCCAAGAATCAAACTGGGGTCTCCTGCATTGCAGAAGGATTCCCCACCAGACGAAGTATCAGGGAAGCCCTAACTATAGTTAAGTTTTCTTGTCAGTCTGGAAGACTGGGCAACCTTTACAAAAATTATAAACATTTTTGTATATCTTCTTCCCCTCAAAACAAAAAATCTGTGGCAAATTTAACAGATGTGGGCATGGGTGGGAGATTCAGCTGTAGGGAAAAGCTGAGAGAAATGAGTCCTTTATGTTGCTACACAATTTAGGCTTTATATGAATGTATGTCCTGCTTTTATTCCATAGTATATGAAAAAAAAGTTGTTTTCCAGTTTCTTTTGAAGTGACAATCCGATCTTACTGTGTCTTACTTAATAAAGTAAAAACAGACAAGCACACATTACCCAATTAAATAACCATGTCCTTTCTATTCAGTTAAATTTTAGTTTCTCTAAAGTGAAACTAAATTTTAAAGAAAATATCACTTTACCCAGGTTATTAGCATGATACCGCTTAGCTCCACAGGTTCTACTTTTCCTGCATGATTAAGTTTGAAGCAGTGATTTAATGAAACTGAATACTTTCACAGCCAAATGTGCTTTATAATTAATTACAAGGGAGGAAAACAGATACAAGAAGACCGTGGAAGCTTACTTTGAGGTGAAACAACGCTGACGACTGCTCGAGAAAATTCTGTTTGCTATTGGTTCTCGAATACTGAAAAGTATTTTTGGTTCTTCTGGACTGTAGAGCAATGATTCATTATATTCGTTTGTTACTATAAAGGAAAAAAGCCAAATATTAGCACATTCAATGAAAAACAGTCACTTCTGAGAAGTGCAAAATGAGAATGGATGCCATCCCCAATTTAAAGGCAGTTCTATTCCAAAAGTCTGTTTGGCAGCAAGTTTCTTGGAACTCATGACAAACTCCATTTAAAAAAATGCTTATAAACAGGGAGTATGTTCCCAGATTAGCCCACAGAAGCCTATATCACCCACAGGATAGCAGAAATAGGTACCTTTGGTGGGGGAAGGGAGGACTGTAAAGTCAGTAAACAAAGAGAAACTAGTTTGAAGCACTCAAAAATAGAACTTGAGTTGACATAATCCCTTGCTAATAAGTTCCTTTCCAAAACATCATGCCAAAAGGTTCATGAGGTATTTCTACAAGTCTTTGAGATCTACTTTCTCCCTAACCAAGAGGCACACAAAGTTGGCATGCAGAGCACAAACTGGTTAAAGACAACCGTACAAAGAAACTGGGCTTGAAAAAAGCATTTAGTTGAACACCACATTAAAAGACATCACAAGACTATCAGATAATCTACCTTATATACCAAAATTTCATTTGAATTAAATGAAGTGTCTGTAACAGTGACTGCACCATTGGCATTCACTATTGCTTCTGAAGATAAGTCAAATCTTCAAAGGAATAATATTCATTCAGTAAAGCAGTATGTTTATTAAAAGAAAAATCACTATTTTATATATACCCTTAAATTACTTTATATAACTGATACAAATTTCAGTTGTTTTATATACATTGTTTTAAGTGAAATTATCTAATGAAGAATCAATTACTATAAATGCCTCACTTTCCTTCCTTTGGTACAAATTTAACACTAATTCCAACTCAAAGCCATGATTAAAATAATATTTTAGGTCTCAAAATCAGAGAGGGAGAAAATAATCCATTTTAGAGACCTGAAAGTAACCACAGAGATTTAGTCCTGTTTACAAACTATTTTAAAGGCAAACCATCTCAACAAAGAAAGTCTTACGGGAATCCAAAACACACAAATAAAATGAATTGACTCTGTTAATATACTTTACCATGTATTGCTATATCACTTTGAAGGCAACCAATATGAACATACGTTACGATAACTCTCAAATTCAAATGTTTACAGATGACAACTGCAGCATAGGTAAGTAAAGGCAACTATGAAGAGTCTGGATTTTTGTGTGTTTTTTTTTTTAATAATTTACCCTTGAAATCTTAGGATACTCTTCAACTAAACAGAGACAACACTATTTAGCTTTAGTTTGTGGTCCATACCTTCGAAAATGATCCTGGTAGATGAATAGACCTTAGTGTGTTAAAATTTCACATGCCAATCAAATGAATGTGGTTTCCAATTTATTAATTTAAATATTTTTTTAAATAATTTTTAACAAATTTGAAGAATTCCCCAGCAATCTAAGTCCACTCCCTCACCCCACTGCTGAGGAAGCAGAAGGGCAGAGAAACAGCCTTGCCCAGTCTCAGTGAGTGACTGGCTGGTCTGGACTGGAGCCCAGCTCTTCAGATTCCCTGCTAAGTATCCTCTCGCCAGCACTGCTGGTTCTCTTGAAGGAATGCTGAAGTAACTAGGCAGGAGTACGCAGGGAAAGGATAGATGACATTTCAGTGAATGTCAAGGTAAGCATTCACGGCTCAATGAATTCCTTCTCATTCGGAGGATACTAATGGCACACCAAATTTAGGTGTACATTTCCTACTTGCCTGATGTGTATTTTTCTACATTTTCCTATTCCCCAGGAAAAGTTTGCAATCACACTGTTTTGACACAGAAGTTAGATTTCCATGGTTGATAAAAATCATAAAATTTCAACTTTAACTTTCTACTGATTCAATATATTTTAAGGGGTATTATATTGTTGGAGTCAAAAAAGTACTATGCTTTGCTTAATTAGACAAGTACATTTCATGATAACATCCTCAAAATATATACAGAACTTAACTAAAAATGTCAGTGATTATGATCATTTGTCACTGACCTTTCTCTACCAATTCTCTGTTCAACGGAAGACTTAAATTTCCTTGTCGGTTTGCTATTGGAAAAAGAAAGGGGGAAAATATCTTGATTAAATAAAATATTTTGTAACATACTATATAGCTTACATACAATAAAATCTACACATTATATAGCATATTATAATTGTAACATAAGAACTATTTGGTACTCACCAATATTTAGAACATCTTCCACAGCCTGAGGTGCCACTCTATTAATATTGAATGACCTACAAATAAATACCACAAACATTTATCCTTGTTTTAGTTCTAAAAACATACTAAAAATGAAAAAGGAATAATCTACTTAATGTATAAAAAACTCTTAGAAATTATCAGGCAAAAAAAATACCCAAAAATACAATAGCCACCTCATATAGTTTTTAAAAGTAGGCAAAGTACATGGGTTAACGGTCCAGGGGTCATATGAAAATATGTTCAGTCTCACTCATACCTGAGGAGATATTAAAACAAGATTCTTCTCAGATTTTAAAGGTTAAAAACTGATAATGTATTGACATGGGTATGGGAAGAGAAGTATGACCATATACTAATGGCATTATAAAAATTGCAATTAGACAATTCTGTTAAGATTTAATATGAACATATTCTTCAATCTAGTAGTTTACCCTAAAATATATTTGCACATATAATACACAAAGACAAGTATAAGGATATTTACAGAAGCATTGTTTATAGTAATAGCAAAACCACAGAAAGCTGGGTAAATATAGCTACTCAGTTGAATACCACATAGATATTAAAAAGACTAACTACAGCCATATGTATAATACCAATGTGGAAAGAGATCAACATGTTAAGTTAAAAAACCAAAAGCATTATACAGTGTGCGTATGTGTATGTGTTTTGTTGTTTAGTCGCTCAGCTGTGTTCGACTCTTTGCAACCCCATGGACTGCACCAAGTCTCTCTGGCTTCACCATCTCTCGAAGTTTGCCCAATCCACGTCCACTGCATCAGTGATGCTGTCCAGCCATCTCATCCTCTGACACCCTTTTCTCCCTCTGCCCTCAATCCTTCCCAGCATCAGGGACTTTTCCAATGAGTCAGCTGTTCTTTATATGTAATACAGAATTTCCTTGTGTTACTTATATTAAAAAATATATAGAGTGGTTATAGCTGGAGATTAGTACTAGAATATAAAATGAAAGAAACCAGCTTTTCATTGTATCCCCTTTGTATTATTTAACATATTTTTTATTTTTTAAATTTTTATTTATTTTTTACTTTTTGGCTGCGCTGAGTCTTCCTTGTTGCTTGTGGGCTTTTCTCTATTTATGCCAAGTGGGGGCTACTCTGTGGTATGTGGGCTTCTCACTATGGTGACTTCTCTTGTCGCGGAGCACAGGTTTCTAGGGCACGCAGGCTTCGGTAGCTGCGGCTCCGGGGCCCTAGATACAGGCTCAGTCGCTGTGGCACACGGGCTTAGTTGCTCCACAGCATGTTTAATCTTCCCAGATGAAGGATCAAACCTGTGTCCCCTGTACTGGCAGGCAGATTCTTAACCACTGGACCACCAGGGAAGTCCTAACACAGGTTTTAAACATGTGTTTCTTTAAATTATAAAATCATTTCTGAAGGTGAGAAAGTTTTAGCAAGATGCCATGAGTAACCACTTAAGAACAAACATTACCACAAACATAAGTAACTTTTAAAAGCAACAACTTTTAAAAGGTGGTTAGACCCTTAACCACTTAGGGTCTAAAAAGGTGGTTAAGGAAAGGTTTTTTTTTAAAAAAAAAAACAAAAAACACAACTCTTCCAGCTAATTTAGAATTCTCCTCCTGCCTCTACCTCTTCCCAGTAGATGCTCCTTCAAAAAGGAACAGTACTGCATAGTCACACAACTCTAAACCTAACTCAGGGGCTCTTAACATTTTCAGGGAGGAAGAATAAGAGATGCTCCATATACCTGCTCTAATCCTATACTCTCCGTATTTTGAAAAATGTGAAAACACTTTGGACATTCTCTTAAGAAAAATGCAGATATATAAAAAATTTTACATTAAAAAACTGGAGTCATTCACAGACCATAGCCTTATGCTAAAAAAAAATAAATCTAAAATATGGCCCTTGCCTAGCCTATTTCACCATTACTCACCCTCCAACTTCACATTCCAGACACCCTAAGCTCTGTTCTCACCTCTTGCTCACACTTACTATGTGGTAGAAGGCAAAATACTTCAAGTGCTGTGACTTCCTTCTTGTTCGGCATGAGGTTCACAAAACCCATCTCATTAGCATTACTACTGTCACACACTATAAGCCATAAGGCACTGGGGGCAGTATCTGGCTCTTGGCAAGAACTCAACGAAAATGTCAAGTACAAGGAAATCTGTATGAGTTACACTCTTAATTCCTCATTACTGTTTTAGGATTCTATTTTAAAGTTACAGAAAAATAAGCTGTTAATAGGGTTCCACTGAAATAAAATATGTAAAGGGCAAAAGATAATAGTGATTCATATATCTTTACTATAGTTAAGAATTAGTTTAAGAGAACAGAAGTCTTACAAGACATGTTCTAACACTCCTAGAACTATGACTTATTAGGAACACCACAAGTCAATACAAACTAAGTTATCTGAGTTGGGGTCAAATTAAAACTAATTCCCTGTGGGCGTAATCTAAATCTCAGCCAATTCAATCTACCCTTAGGAGTGGTTTACATTCTACATCAAAGACAAACTATATGCCAAAGCAGGTGTGACCCAGCAAACAACAACTTTTTCCTTAGATCTACAACCTTTACCACTTAAGAGTGCTGATGTGAAATCAGACATAACTTCTACTAAAGACAACCGAATTGAAAGGCAGAGAGTCTCATATCTTCATCAGCTAGTAAAACTCTCTTTTTACTTAAGAACACCTCTTCATCCTTAATTAGGCCTTCTGGGACAGAATGTACAAAGGAGAAGGACTGGGAACAGGCTTAAGAACTCATGGAAACATAAATGATCCTGCTCCGTGGTACTTCTCTACCGTGTGCTGCAAACACATTCCAACCGGGAAGAGGACCGAGGTGACTGACACTGCGATGATGCACAGCCGCTTGTTGTGCAACAGAACCACCACATCCTATGTCTTGTGCAAGAATTTCTGGAAATGCAAAGATGGGACAGCTAATCCCTGAGCTCTTCCCCCCACCCTCCCAGACACGTGATTAGGCTGTATTTCCCACCCCTCTAGCCACACAGCATGTAACTACATTCCAGCTAAAGGAATAAGAGTGACTATCACAGGCAACTCTCCTTCCAAGGAGTAAGCGTCTTTAAATTTCATGGCTGCAGTCACCATCTGCAGTGATTTTGGAGCCCCCCAAAATAAGTTATGATCAACCTAGATAGCATATTAAAAAGCAGAGACATTACTTTGCCAACAAAGGTCCGTCTAGTTAAAGTTATGTTTTTTCCAGTGGTCATGTATGGATGTGAGAGTTGGACTGTGAAGAAAGCTGAGCGCCGAGGAATTGATGCTTCTGAACTGTGGTGTTGGAGAAGACTCTTGAGAGTCCCGTGGACTGCAAGAAGATCCAACCAGTCCATCCTAAAGGAGATCAGCCCTGGGCCTTCATTGGAAGGACTGATGCTGAAACTCCAATACTTTGGCCACCTCATATGAAGAGCTGACTCACTGGAAAAGACCCTGATGCTGGGAGGGATTGAGGGCAGGAGGAGAAGAGGACGACAGAGGATGAGATGTCTGGATGGCATCACCGACTCAATGGACATGGGTTTGGGTAGACTCCGGGAGTTGGTGATGGACAGGGAGGCCTGGCATGCTGCAATTCATGGGATCACAAAGAGTTGGACAGGACTGAGCAACTGAACTGAACTGATCATGGGCAACACTTCTCATAACCTCCCACAGGGGACCCTCCAAGCTTTTCCTCCTTCTGTGGCTCAGAAAGTCTATGGTTTACAGTTAAGCCCTGAAATTAAATCCTACCTCCTCCATTTATAAGCCACATGGCTTTGGGCAAGTCAGTTAACTTTTGAGACTTTTTATACTCTATCAGTGAAAATAAAACTAACTAATCTCAGAGTATTCTTGAGAATTTAAGTAAGATGATATACTTACTTGGGACAAAGAAAGTGCTCAAAGATGGTACTGCAGTAAGTTGAAATTATTAATGTAATGTATAGAACGTATAAGCTTTCCCTCAGTATCTCTGATCCCTAGCCTTCTCTCTTCTCCCCCAATGCTTCTCTTTTCTCCCCTTACTCTCTGAAGAGAAAAAGGATCAAATGATACAGGGGAAATGCAATCATAATGAAAGAATTATCGGTAATAACAGGAGAATAGAACACGTCAGAAGCAAGCAAGCTGCATAAGGCTGAGTAGAAAAGAAAAGGGCCTAAGTGACCAAGGTGGCAGGGACAGGATATGGTTAGAGAGAGAACTGGCTCTGCACTAGAGCACCGAGCGCAAAGCAGATTTTAATAAGCCACACAGAAAAGACAGAACTTCTAATCTAAGCCATACTTATTCAAATGCAACATCAACACAGGACTCAACTATAAGGTGAGTGGTAGAAGAAATAAAACTCAATTTTAAAGAATTCAAATTTAGTTTGATAAGCACTGTTTTAGCTGTATTTGTGAGCATGTAGTCATTTATTCAAAAAAAGCATTTTAAGTGAATAAGTATGAAGTACTGTGCTAAGCAAATAAAAAAATTAAGCAGAAAAAAAAGTCACTAGTCACCATCCCATGTGCCTCAAGTTGCTCAAACTAACTGGGTATGAACTTACTAGAAACTAATTATGTGCTAAATGCTATAAGAATGCCATGAGGAAAAAGTGCTAGGTAAGGGCAAAAAAAGGGACTGATTAATTAGGCTTATGAAAAGAACAATGTCTTAAGCAAAGATTTTGCCATTTAACTGACATTTGAAGACTGGGATTTTTAGCCCGTAGATGGAAAGTGGAAAATGTTCAGGCGGCCAATGCAGGAAGAAGGTACACTGAGCAAAAACAAAAGCCCAGAGAGAACAAGGCTTGTGCTGAGAATTGCAAGCAGCCTGCAGAGCCTCCAGTGTAGCGGGTTAGGGTCAGGCCGCAGGAGGCTGGCAAGGAACCTTAGCTCATACTTAAAGGGCTTCATATGACAGTCTGAATAATGTGAACACAGTCAAGAAAGTTTTAAAGCACAGAAGGGAAATAGTGAGATCTATCTACATTATGGAAATATTACTCTGTGGTAGGAGTTATGAATAACAGTCTGAAAAAGCAAGGTGATGCACAAAGAATGTTCACTGAAAAGATGGGGGCCGACACCAAGAAACAGCCATAGAAACTGAAAAGCAGAGGCTAGAATTTCTGAAGTACATCTGACAGGATTCAGAGACTGCTAAGTATAGAGGGAGAACAGGAAGACCCAGAATTAAGACCAGGCTTTAAGGAATAATGTGTTTTCCTGAGACTATGAACTCAAGGGTAACAGTGATTATTCAGCAAGACAGGGAACCCAGGAGAACAACTGAAGACAATAGATTCAGTGTTGAACATGTTGAATCTGAAGTGCTATTCCCACCCTTATGTAGTTAGCAGGTAATTTTACAATATGAGCCTGAACTCAAGAGAGACGATGGCCACAGATAAAAGTCAGGGAGGCATAGGCATGTGCGTGCTAAGAAGTGGAAGAGACTTCCCAGAGAGGGGTCATAGGGTAAGCAGGTTTCAGGATGTCCCAGATTATCTCCAATTAGGTCTTGAATGCACAAACTTCTGGCATATTTTTTGGTACTGTAGTTTGTTTTCAGTTCTTTATAACTTAAAATATTCATTTTTAAGATATACATTCCCTAAAAACATTCATTTTCTTTTTTCTCTTTACAAACCTAGGGCAGGAAGATAAAGAATGACCAGATCCAGGCTGAGCTATAAGTCAGGGCTGGACTCTTGGACCCAATCGATGAGTGAAACAGAAACTGAGCCAACCAATAAATCAACGCCAGGCTCCTTCCTGCGTATCAGAGGCCTCAGATACACCAATGTGAGACAGCAAGCAAATTATATTACTTAAAGTATTTCACAAAAGTTGATAAGCAACATTCGAAGTTACTCACCAGGCCTTTGATCCTGTTCCAGTACACAAATTGAGCCCAGAGCTCTTCTGTTTTTCCCATGGACCATCATCAACTGAAATCTCGTAGTAGGAAGCCCTATGAATTGAGAATATAAAACTGGATTTGTGGAACTTATGTCTCATGGTAAATGAGATAAAGTATCTTTTTCAAAGCTGATGAAATCTAAGTGGGTCATCCTGACTTAGACATACCTGACTTAGTAGGGACACATATCATGATGCTAATTCCAATACTGATTAAGTGAAAAAAATTAAAAAATATCTATGTGTCTACATCCTTCTCTGACCTATATGTGCCTCCTTCCTTTAAGATTTCAAACAAGAGCTTCTTATAAATTTTTACCTAGCACTGCTATGGAAACATACAGAAGATGATTTCAGAATTCAAAAAGAAAATACCGTTCCTAGGGGAGTTTTATTCTCAGGAGCTAGTCCTTGACACATCTAAGTCTGCATCTAATCCTTCAAGTTACCAACCATTTCTACTTAACTCTTGTTTCTCAAGTTATGTACTAATGTGCCTTTTGAATTGACAGTAAGCTAGCAGAGACAATGAGGTTCTAAAGAAAAATCTCAACCAGTCCTGGACCAGTGAACAAAACTAGGGATAAAATAAGAACTGTAATTTTTTTTTAAAGATTTACATTTCTCAGATTATTTAATAAACATGGAATCAACTGGGTTTTCTGACACCAGCAAAAAAAAAGAAAACAAAATGACACCACTTTTTAACTGCATGAATGTTTAAGTGATTTGTAACTATTCAAAGAGCTTCTGAAACAATTTTGTGAACTATGTCTTAAAATAATGGTGTCAACAGTCAACACTGAGTTACTTTTATCCAGCAAATAAAAAAGCTAAAATAAACACTTAACAAAATATAGCTTTTCAAAACAATAACAATTATTAGACATGCCTGCAAATATTAACATTCAATGGATAATTTATCTCTTATTCTAACCCTTTCATTTTCTCCTGCCAAGCTCGTGGTTTATGAACGCTTCATATCATATAACTCCAAGTCGTTTTTTCTCTGAAGTCAGCATTCTCTTTAAAAATAAAAGACAGCAAGTCTAATATTCACATTTAATCTACTTCATAGCTTTGTTATGTCTTCCTAGAAAATTAAGAATTTTAGGTATATTAGTCTACTATATACAATACAGACAAGTCAGCCAAATCCATTGGAATGGCTGCTATTATTCCAGAATCACGTAGAAACCGGAGATTAGAGGTAAGTGGGGACAGAAAAAAAAGCAGAGGTGTAGAGAAAGAAAAGTCAGGAGAGAGATGTTGAGTCCAAAACAAAGAGCAAATTTAGTGTCATTCTTACATGCAAGTTTATCAAGATTAGTCAACTCAGAATTTTGGTTTCAGGGAAATTATTTTTTTAAGGCAGCAATAAAACTCACAGTCCCTTTAGAGTGGGTATACTTCTTCTTAAATTGTCCACTGCTACAGCCCAAGAATAAGACATTCTAGGTTAGAACAAATAGGAGAAAAGAAAAAAAATTGGGCTTTTAAAATGTTCTTAAGTTTAAGAACATTATAAATGAGGCAGGAATAATATTGCCACACTTCACATTTTCCAAGCAAAGCACTTCAGTTTTCAGGAAGATTACAATTCTCCTGCACACACTGAAGAAGAGCACAGGCTTAGCCCGGCTCTGTTGTTTATTAATTGTGTGACTTGGGGCAATTTACTTCACCTCTCTGAGCCACAGACTGCCCTATAAAATGGAGATAATGATAGCATCAATATTTATTCAATCTATAAATATTTATTAAGTGCCTAATATGTTTTAATAAGCACTGTGCAAGGTCCTAGGGATTTAATAGTAAATGTAATAGACACAATCTTCTAGAAGCTTATATTCTAGTATGCAGGTCAGAAATTTTACAGTAATAATTACCAACTATTTAGAGTGTTGCTTACTGCTTTAAGCAATAAACAAGACACTATATAAGAAATAATACAAGATGGCCTTGAAACAGCACTGCCAGGAGGAAGGCATGTACAGGCAGGGCAGTTCAAAAAATAAGTAGTAAGTTCTCATGACAACTCAATACTGGATCCGGAATTAGAAATGCTGGGTTTACATGATGGTTCTGATGCTAAATTAAATATATGAGCTTGGCCAAGTGATTTGAATTCTCCAAATCTCAGTTTTTTCACTGAGAAATACAACCACTTTTCCCACAGAGTTGCTATGAGCATACATGTGACAACATACACAACATGCACAGTGCCTGACAGGCAGCAGGCATTCAGTAAGTGTTCATTTCTTTTCTGCCTAAGGGTCTGTGTCATAGAATCTTTCCAAGTAATTTCTAATATTTCCAGTAGTTAAGGCTTTCTCAATAGCATCAGAAGCCCACCCACTGCTGTCCTTAATCTTAGTAAAGATAATCAGGTGAGGCTTCAAAGATCACAAAAAGAACCAGCATCGGACATCAGGGGTAAACCAACCAAAGCACTGCCACCACAGAAAATAGAAGCATTCAATCTAACACCTCCTAATGGGACTTCACTGAATTTCCATAAGTCAATCATTGATCCCAATTTTCCTCCTTTTGTAAGTTATTTTTTAGTAAGTACAAATCATAAAGCAACACTAGTAGAAGCTCTCAGAAGTTATGACCTTCAAAATATACAAACAGAATAATGTAAGCCTTTAAATGGCTTCCCTCGAATAAGCATAAACTCACAAAACATCTTTACCTTTGTCATCTATTTATTTTAATGGAGACTTTTTCCAATCTCATTTTAAGGTTGTTCTCTTCTGCCTGTCTTTAGCAATAGTGATGAGATTATATCACTGTTATATTCTCTTCCTTCTCTCTTATGACATAAATGTATCCATTACTCATTTCCATATTGCTTCAAACTTGATATGCTATAGTTTTTTCTGTTGCTGCCTAAGTCTTACTATATTAAAATAAGCACATCTTTACACTTTACCATATTTTTAAGTTCTTTAAAGTATATATTTTTATTTGATTTCTTGAAGAATACATTTTATTTTTAATAATTTTTAATTATGTATTTTACCAGCTTCTAAAACATTAAGACACAGCTACTTTTATCTTATTTGTTTTTATATTCCTAGTTCACACAGTAGGTGTGCAATATATCTCACTGCATAAATTTAAAATTATATTAATCAAAATAATTACAACTCAAAAAGATAATTCAAATCATTCTGTTGAATCAGGCTTTGTTCTCTTCAATACTACCTCCAGTAGTAAGTTAATGGCTAAAATGTGGTTTTTTTAAGACAACTTATTCTTACCATAATTAAACTTACTATAAAAGGATATGACTTATAATGAAGAGAATTTCAGAAAATTTGAAACTCTCAGGGAATCAATTACATGACCTTCAAAAGATCACATGGTTCTGGTAGCAGGAGAGTAGAATATAGATTTATCTCTAATCTTCCATCCCTAACTCCCTTACAACAACAACAAAAATGAGAAAGAAAGTTCTAAATGTACCACCAAGAGTTAAATTAACTTTACATTATGGCAGTCATTTTACAACTGGTAACTAGTGTCACACAATAAATTTTCTGCAAAAAAATTCTACTGACAATTTAAGCCTAAGTTATATTCAACACTCACAAAATAGATTTTATCAGTAATAAAACATACACTATGTTTTTATATTCCTACTGAAGAAGTTCACTAATCTTAATTTTTGGTAATAATGGTTACAAATCTTAAACTGTCAATACTCTTGCCTTATGATGTTGCACTGAAAAGGATCAACATTACTTATGCAGCATTCTTGTCAAAAATGCTTAGTCTGAATTTTATCATGCAGAGAAAAAAAAATCATACAAATCTAAATTAAGGAATATTCTGCCAATATTCTGCAATTGGCTTAGACCATTCAAAAGTGTAAAAATCATAAATGACAAAACAGGGATGGGACTAGAAGCTATTCTTAATTTAATCTAAAGGGCTATGATAGCCAAATAAACAAGATTTATTTAAAAAATAAGTAATATTTTTGTGTTCTCCTTAACTGGATTCTGGATCAAAACAAGCAAATAAATAAATCAGCTTTATGAAACATTAAGACAATCGGTAGGGAAATTTTAATATGAACAGTCTATAAGATCAGAGTTTTATATCAACTGCAAATATATGCTTATATATCATTCTCTTAAACATTTATAAAGCACCTATATAACAGATGAAAGGCTCAGGGAAATACTGCAGTAAAGAAATCTGAGTAACTTTATTTAATGTAGGGCTTCACAAGCATTTTTGATAGTGAAACTTTCTTTCTTCTTACCATGTATTAATGTGTACAAAGGTGTGGAAACATTTCATTTAATAATTCATTTTTCTTATATAGGATTAATTCCTCACAAATCTTAGGTGGTATAAATTTAATAAATAGCTTAAAATTTCTAAAATATTAAACTTCAAACTCAAGATGACAAGTTTAAAAGTACCTGGATGATAAACTCTCCCCAATGAAGACTTCATTAAGTGCTCTGACTGGTAAAAGCTGGGGTCCAGAAGCCTCGAACCCTGCAGAGAATGAAAGAAAAATCCAAGAGAGCACCTTAAAACTTCAGAAATATTATCATATAAATTTTATAAAATATTAAAATATTTGTCTCAATAGCCATCTATACCTTAACATTAACATAAGAAAAAAATAAAAAAGTAATAATAAAAAACAACAAAAAAATCAAAAAAACATAACAGCAACAAGGAAAAAACAGGACTTCTTGAAACAATTTTTCAAGAGTGAGGAAATATATTGATATTTATTCACAGCATAAGATTCAAGCTGTCACACTTGGCTAAGTTTTGCTCCAACCACAACCTGCTTCAGAAGTAGAGACGATCGAGTACTTCCAAGGGAGAGCCATTCTGGATTCAAGCAGCAAATTACACGGATGGCTCATGTAGGAAGCCAAATCAGTTATATCAGAAGTCAGATTATTTTTCAAACAGAAAACGGAGAGTGCTTTTCAGCAACGGCAGCACTGGAGAAACAGTGCCACATCTCCTTATGTGACTCCTAAAACAACATCACCTTTATTTTACTCTTTAAGGTTCTGTGCACAGCTTACATAACCTTCCTTGATGATTACTTAAACAGCACTTTATCACGCAAAATCCACCAAAGAATCTCACTGCTTTCTGAATCAAAGTGTGATTTTCACCTTCAAATGTTCCCTTTTACTTTTTTATCTTTAACCAGTCCCCAGCTTGAGATGCCAGCAGTTTCTTCTCAACGTCACCAATGGTAGGTTCACTGCACCCAAGTGTCTCCTGCTGGGCATGCACTATGGAACAAGATACCTTTTCTGTCTCCTCCACCTTTTTTTTTAGTCAAAGCTAAACATTAACTTCAACTGTGGCAGCAGCTAGCCTCTAAAAATGGTGCCCCCTGATGCCTGCCTCCTGGTATTCACATTCTTGTATAGTTCTTCCTTTCACATCACACCAGAATTAGTCTCTGTGACCAACATAAGGCGGAAATGATGGTATGTCACTTCCGAGATTTGGTTTAAAATGATACCCTAGCTTCTACCTTGGTCACTCTCTCTCCCAGATCACTTGTTCTGGGGGAAGATGTTTCACAAGCAGTCCAATGGAGAAGCCAACATAGTGAGGACCCAAAGCCGCCTGCTAATGGCCACATGCCGAGTTGTGGTTGAGACCTTCCAGTCCAGTTACGTGTCCCGGCCAACAGCTTAACTGTCACCTCCTCAGAGACCCTAAACCTGAACTAACAAGCTAAGCTTCTCTTGGATTCTTGACTTTCATAATCTCTGTGAAATCACAAGTATTTTGTATTAAGATGGTAAACTCTGGGGTAATTTGCTATGTTTTAAGATTCTGTGTTCCAGGTTAATGTTACAGATATCTAATACACATTAGACACTTAATACTCTATAAAACTTTCCACCACTGTCACCAACACAACCACCAATTTAAATTCTCCTCTGACTTGTAGCCTATTTGTTTATATGCTTATTGAATATTAATTATATGTATAATTTCTTTTGGATTGTAACTGTCTAAAGTGACCCAACTATTCTTTCAATTACCACAAGTTGCTATTACAATACCATGGAATCTTTAAAAACTCATTTGACGAAATTATATAATGGGCTAACATTATGAGCTAGATCTCATAACACAGAAGGAACTTGATACAAAAAGGTACATAAGAATGATGTGTTTGATCAAATTTGATTGTACTTAAGACTGCATACTTAACTTCTGATATTGTCTTAATTTGGTACTAAATATATTCACATTTTTACAACTAACAAGTTTTACAACATAAAAAGTTTAAATTTATAGTTTATTTTTCTTTACATAGTGTAATTCCTAATGGAATGTTTTATATCTCCTCACAGATTTTCTGCAAATGTTCACTAACAGTAAGTACTCACTAAATATTGCTTTGTACTCAGTTGCCAAGTCATGTCTGAGGCAAGAATACTGGAATGGGTTGCCATTTCCTTCTTCAGGGGATCCTCCCAATCCAGGGATCGAACCTCTGTCTCCTGCACTGGGAGGCAGGTTCTTTACTGCTGAGCCACCAAAGAAGCCATCACTATATATTCAGTCAGTTCAGTTCAGTTGCTCAGTCATGTCCGACTCTTTGCGACCCCATGAATCGCAGCACGCCAGGCCTCCCTGTCTATCACCAACTCCCGGAGTTTACTCAGACTCATGCCCATCGAGTTGGTGATGCCATCCGGCCATCTCATCCTCTGTCGACCCCTCCTCCTCCTGCCCCCAATCCCTCCCAGCATCAGGGTCTTTCCCAATGAGTGAACTCTTTGCATGAGGTGGCCAAAGTACTGGAGTTTCAGCTTCAGCATCAGTCCTTCCTGTGAACACCCAGGAATGATCTCCCTTAGGATGGCCTGGTTGGATCTCCTTGCAGTCCAAGGGACTCTTAAGAGTCTTCTCCAACACCACAGTTCAAAAGCATCAATTTTTCAGTGCTCAGCTTTCTTCACAGTCCAACTCTCACATCCATACATGACCACTGGAAAAACCATAGCTTTGACTAGATGGACCTTTGTTGGCAAAGTAATGTCTCTGCTTTTTAATATGCTGTCTAGGTTGGTCATAACTTTTCTTCCAAGGAGTAAGCATCTTTTAATTTCATGACTGCAGTCACCATCTGCAGTGATTTTGGAGCCCAAAGAAATAAAGTCTGACACTGTTTTCACTGTCTCCCCATCTATTTCCCATGAGGTGATGGGACCAGATGCCATGATCTTAGTTTTCTGAATGTTGAGCTTTAAGCCAACTTTTCACTCTCCTCTTTCACTTTCATCAAGAGGCTTTTTACTTCTTCTTCACTCTCTGCCATAAGGGTGTTGCCATCTACATTTCTGAGGTTATTGATATTTCTCTGGCAATCTTGATTCCAGCTTGTGCTTCTTCCAGCCCAGCGTTTCTCATGATGTACTCTGCATATAAATTAAATAAGCAGGGTGACAATATACAGCCTTGACGTACTCCTTTTCCTATTTGGAACCAGTCTGTTGTTCCATGTCCAGTTCTAACTGTTGCTTCCTGACCTGTATACAGGTTTCTCAAGAGGCAGGTCAGGTGGTCTGGTATTCCCATCTCTTTCAGATATAATAGTAACTGATAAATCTGAAATCTCACCAAAGTGTAACCGTATGTTTTTCTTTTGAATAGTCTTAACTTTTTATCTATATTCCTGTTTATCCTTATCCTAATTTTCCTTTCTGTATAGCACTTTTACTATGTGTGCTTGCTGAGTTTTACCTGAAATCTTTTATCAAAGGAGGAAGAGAATACATAAAATTGCTTCAAGTCTCATTAATCATCTTAATTCTGCTTATATTTCTTTCATGCTAATTGACTACCAAACATTATTTAATCATAAAACTGTTCATATACACCTTGCTTCAACAAAACACAAAAAGATGGACTCAACAGCAATTGACAGTTTTCTATCCAAGAGAATCCATTACAAAATTAATCATTAATTTATATTTTTAAGTACAGAATTGTGATACTAGGGACAGAGACCACAGTCCTATGCAATCCTCTCACACTGTCAGACTATTAGACTATGCTTCTGGATCTACCCACCTTGGGTATACCCATGGAACTAGTAATGGCTAATGGAATACGAGCAAAAGTAGTGGAAAGGCCTAGCTCCTAAAACTTCCCTAAGAATCCCCCACGCTCTCACTGCCTTCCCCCATAAGCTCTGAAGGGCCAAACAGAAGGTCAAAGGCCTCAGAAGATGGTAGGAGCCACTGTCTGGAGGTTGCCTCAACAACCCTTGGACAGTGAGCTGAACTATAAATAAAACTTCAGTGTGCTAAGTCACTGAGATTCTAGGATTGTTTATCAAACCAATTCACTTATCCAAATTAATACAACTAGGCTTACAAATAAGAAAGTTACGAGTTTATGTGATTAAAAGTTTTCTTTAACAAATAAATAAACTCTGCCTTCCCTTGACTTGGTATGTATGCACATCATTATGTTCTTGGGCTTTCCTGGTGGTACATACAGTAAAGAATCTGCCTGAAATGCGGGAGTCCGGGGTTCGCTCCCTAGGTCAGGAAGATCCTCCGGAGGAGGGTATGGCAACCCACTCCAGTATTCTTGCCTAGAGAATTCCATAGACAGAGGGGCCTGCTGGGCTGCAGTCCATGGGGTCGCAAATAGTCGGACACAACTGAAGCGACTCAGCACGCACACACCTTCCCTTGAGGGTATAATGGCAATAAAAATGAACTCCTTTTCATTAATTTGTACACAACCCAGGTGGCTCAGGTGGTAAAGAATATGCCTGCAATGCAGGGGAGCCTGGCTCAATCCCCGGATCAGGAAGATGCGCTGGAGAAGGAAATGGCAACCCACTCCAGTATACTTGCCTGGAAAACCCCATGGACAGGGGAGCCTGGTGGGCTATAGTCCATGTGGTCGCAGAGTCAGACATGACTGAGCACACCATATACATAATCTAGTTAAGGATAGATAACACTGAATAGAAAATTGTATTTGATTAAAGTTAAATCATCCTTCTTGCAAAAAAACTAGGATTTTTTTCTCCTTAATCCTGTGTTCCAAATTAAAAAGCTAAATCAGGGATCAAACATGGTGGTATATTTATAATCTCAAACCTACTCCTATATTCAAAAATCCCAAATGGCAGTTTCTTGGGAAATGTTCCCTGCCAACCTGAAGAGAATTTAAATAGGAAACATGAGATAAATCTTGAAATCCTCCAAAATTTTTTCTCAGAAAATAAAGCTCTTTATCAAGAAAAAACCCTCTAACAAAAAAGTTCTCTAAAATTGTGCCAACATTGTAAATGTTACATAATTGCTAATAACAATAATATTAATAATTAATATAACACTTTTCAGTGTTATTATTGAGAAATCTGAAGCTACTCAGATTCCAGATTCTTCATGTATAAAATAACCTGTTCCAACCACAATCACCCACCATCACTACTTCCTTTCTGGAAGCTTGCAAGAGGTTTGCTTTATCCCTAATATACTAACATACCTCAGTGTGGGAACTTTCACCATTGATTATATTAAGTATTTTGTGTTTTCTTTCATTCAGAGACTGGTACCTAAGATTTGAGAAATTTTTTTAAAAATTCTTTTTGAGTATTTCCTGTGCTTTTACTAGAACTACCACTAACCAGCTGTAAATATCCTGAATATTACTAAGTTTATATGTAATTTGTTTCTATATATATTTAATTTATAAGCTAAAACCAGTGAATCTGAGCAATGAATCTACATCTTTCTTATATACTGTTGGTGAAAACAACAAAATCCTGAACATCTTTTGGTGACAACAATAACTTGTTTTGGTGAAGTATAAAGTAAAATTTCTAATTAAGATTTCAAAATCTTTAAAAAAAATTAAAATCTTAATAGTTACTGCCGTCTTTCAAAAATGATAATAGGAAATCATCTGCTTATGAATGACTTGAAAGATTTCTAGATTTTTAAAAACTAGTTATTTAAAAATTTTCTAAAATCAGAGCAATAAAATCAAATTACTTTTTCAGGAGAATAAAAACCATCTTTAAAACATGGCATTAACTCACAGTTTAGGAACAACTAACCTATAAAGCTATAAATCACCATGAAAAACTGAAAAAAATAAATATAAGTAAACATCAAATATCACAACCAGACAGAAACAAAGCCAGAAAACAGTTATGTAAAGATAGCTTTTCCTAATAAAGTTTACTCAAGAAATGAAATGCAAGAGGAAATAATATCCTTTTATACAGTCCACAGATATTTAGGATATCTCTTGGGATCTTCTTGCATCATGAAAATCTTACAGTTATGGGACAAAGTGGGAAAATACTGCTAAATATAATCCCCAAATTAGCTCAAAACTGAGAATTCATCTTAAAAAAAAGCTGCATATCATTTCATGCTAATATTCCCTTAGCATCTTACACAAATATTTGAAATACAAATCTTAAAGGTGAGATGCAAAAATTTCCTAACAAAAAGATTTTTTAATCAATAACTAGACCCATGGTAAATATATGTAAATGCAAATATATAAATGTATAATTATTATGAAGTCTTCCACAGATTAGTTTATTTTCTTTCAACCACTTTCTTTTTCCTTTTTGACATTTCAAAGATTAAGACCAAGACTCTTTCCTTAAATATCAAGTACCCTTTTGGACATTTTACAGTCCTTCCCTTATCAATGAGTTTTCAAACTCACCCTCAGATTTTTTTCAATAAGAAAAAAATTGTTATGGAAATAGGCTATATTTCTTATTTCAGAATCTAATCATAAAAATTTTACAACTCAAGCAGTTAACTGTACTTCCTTAAATGTAGTCAGTGGCACTGAAATCCCCAAGTAAGTTAATTATAAATGATTACTTCTAGAAATTAGAGATCAAAGGAACTGTAAATTACATATTGCCCCAAACACACTTGATTCCCAATCCACCTACTTTCATCATGAACTCTTTCAATGTTGAAGGCTCTACTATGCTGATTCAAACTCAGCTGCTGTTCATGGAGGTCCACAGGAACAGGGTTGATGCCAGTTCCTTCAAGATATAACCTAATTCGCTGCCTCCACAACCACCTTAGAGTGAAGAAAAATCAAGTTATATTAAAATAGAATAAGTTAAACAAAGGATTAGACATCATAATTTCTCCAAATTAAAAAAATTCATATTAAAAAACTAGTTATCCCATAAACTAATTACACCAGAAATACCTAAAACCCACCACCGATTCCTGCTCAAAAACAGATTTAAATGGCAATATCTACTGTATCTATAAGACCCTTCAAATAACATGAATTAAAGTCAAATTATTTATCAAGTATCCATTAAATCCCATATACAGAGCTAATGTAGTTGTGTTTTACTTATCAAAAAGTATAATATATACAAAAAAGAAAACATTCTGAAATTAAAACACCATTATATTAAGGTGGTCAGATTACATAAAAATCCCTCCCCTAAAATTCTGTAATAATGTTTTTCTGTTTTTTACAATTAGAGTTCAACAACAAATACTGTAACACTTAAGATTACACCTAAAATTTCAATGACTTTTTAGTGGGAAAAAAAAAAGGAATCAAGTTTAATTGATTTTAAAATCAAAAACTGACATAGCAAAAGGCCAATGGGACAGATTCTACTAGATAAGTACACAAAAATATACTCCTACTTGAGTATATTAGTCATCTGTAAGGTACTAAACTTCTGAGATGAGCAGAAACTGGAATCACTACTAAAAAAAAAGATTTCAGAAGTCAAGAAGATTTAATACAATTTCACAAACACCTAGAGAAAAGGTTTTCTCAAACTATAAAATCTAGGCTAAGTCAGTGAAAAAAAGTAGTCCAACTTAGCTCTCTCTAATTAATTGGTCTACCTTATCTTAACTCTTCCCTCTACCCTTCTCTTTTCAGGGCAGTCTGACTACTAAACAAATTAAGTGAAAGGAATATTAAAAAAAAAATCTCCATTGGTTAGGAAATACTTAACATGTAAGACAGAGATACCAGGAATCTCAGCATAGTTAGAATAAATACAACCCTCAGACACTCTGGATGGGAGAAGATGAGGATGAAAAATACAAAATTTCAGAGAACTTGAACATTTAGTTTTCACCGACAGTCTTTTTACAAAACTGCTAAAAACATGTAAGGTTAAAGTAGAGACATGGCCTCTATCTCACTGAGGGAGAAAAACGTCTACTTACGTTACAGGCCAAGTGGCATTTGGCAAGGTTTCTCCATATAGTTCCAATAGGGCTGGGAGAAGCCAAGTTAGATGTGTTTGTGACTCAGCCAACATATTATTTTTTATGTATTATTTGAATTCTTTTTTATGGCTACAACTATGGACTAATCCAAATATTATCTAATGTGTTCTGTTTAACAGCATTTTTAATGGCACACATTAATAAAATAATTATGTAATAATATTATCTTAACAAGATAATTATAGAGCAATAGTAAGAACTTCCTACCTGAACTCACCACGATAGAACTTCTGTAAGGCTTCTGGGAAGGAATGCGTATATCGAACAGGAAGACATAAATGACCCTCAGACCTTATTTTAAAGGGATTTGGGTGGTATAAAGGGAAGAAGAAAAATAAAAGTACTCAATTCAAAAGGTATCATTAAACTACAAAAATCAGACATGAATTTTTTTGAATTTCTACCCTATAATTCATTTTTGCCACATATTATTTATATTTTTAACAAGAACAAAAAAAAAAAAAGACCAAATAGAAATAGTAGTTTACACCCAGGTTTAATGCCATAATACAACTTAAGTTTCCACATTACAGTAAAACTAACAGCAAATTTGCCACTGATTGATATCCCTGCAAATTATCTAATGGTGTAGTGATGTTTGCATCTTAACATCTATATTACTTAACTACTCACTTTGGGCAAGTCACTTTAGCATCAGCTTCTTCATCTCTAAAAGGGCCATAAAACCACCAAATCTCAAAAGGTTATTCTGAGGAATCAAACTATTTATGTGAAAGTTTTTTGAACCATAAACCCCTTATAAATATCTTTTAAGATAATCTCTTACTAAAAGAGAACTCATAGCTTAATCTAATCTAACTTCAAGGAGTTAACAGCTTTCGTGAAGGACAGAATATTTTTTTTTAAAAATTGCAAATTGCAAACTGTTAACTGCCTATCGGCTGATACAGGAAGATGAGAGGCTATGACACTCTAACACGAGGAAAGGTGTCCAGATAGTTCAATCATCCTCATTCACGTGACGCTTCAATCTCGAAGGAAAGGTTGACAGCTGGCCTGGCAAAACAAACCCTTAACGATAACTGTAAATTAACACAGATGCGAAGAGCCACATAAAAGGCTTTTACAAAGCTGTAACTAGTCAATTTATCTGAGATCAATTTAGCTAAGAAACTTAGGGACTAGATTTTTTAAATTTTTATATTTACTACAGTACTAAGTGCTAAGGATAGTATACAGTGCTAAGAATATAAAAGTTGAAAGTGAACATATAAGTCGCTCAGTCCTGTCCAACTGTTTGTGACCCCATGGACTTCACCAGGCCACAACACTGGAATGGGTAAACTTTCCCTTCTCCAGGGGATCTTCCCAACCCAGGGATTGAACCCAGGTCATCTGCACTGCAGGCGGATTCTTTACTAGCTGAGTCACAAGGGAAGCCCCTTATATAAAAGTTATCAACAGTCATTTATTTGATAGAATACCTATGGAGGTCACCTGCAGGTCTAAAACACTCAAGAGAGAAAAATCTAGGCCTGGCCTGGAGGATTCAATTTCAGTGTGGCTCACTCACTAGTGCTAACTGCTGGCAAGGTCCTCAAATCTGTCTCCATGTGAGTCTCCCCACAGGGTGGCCTTGGTATCCTCACATCATGGTGGCTGACTTACTCAAGAATGAGCAACCCAAGAGACCAACACAGAAGCTACAGTACCGTTTATGACCTGGCCTTGGAATGCACACACTGTTGTACCATATTCTTTTGATCCTACGGGCCAGCCCTACTTGAAGTGGGAAGGGAACTACATAAAGGTGTAAATAACAAGAGACTACCTTAAAGGTCGGCTATCACATGCTGTCTATCCCATTTTCATTATCAAGCATTTAAATGTCATAATTATATACAGGGGTCAGCAGAGTGAGTACAGAATACCAAAGAGAAAATTGAAATTGTCTGTTTAATTTAGTTGAGTCCACCAATGAGACATCTTAGAGAAGCAGATCCTGCAGCCCAAGTCAAACCTTTGGGTGCCTGCAGCCCCAGCTGACATCTGCCTATAACCTCATTAAAGATCCCAGATTCCTGACACACAGAAACCATGGGAGATAATACATTATTATTACTGTTGTTTTAAGCCTCCAGTTTGCGGATGATTTGTTATGCTGCGTTTGATAACTACTGCAGAGAAGAAGAAACTTAATTGAACACTAACTTCTGGGCTTATTTAAGGATTGTTGAGACACCTCACACTTATAAGAAATATAAGTCGGGCAACCTGAATTACAGAACAAGCTAGAGGCCTTACACATTTCTGCCTGGGGGCAAAAAGAAAAACCAAAAGACTTCTAGAATACATTATTCCAGGTAGGATGGCGTCACCGACTCGATGGATAGGAGTTTGAGTAAACTCTGGGAGTTGGTGATGGACAGGGAGGCCTGGTGTGCTGCAGTTCATGGGGTCACAAAGAGTCGGACACAGCTGAGCGACTGAACTGAACTGAAAAATTAGAGAAACAACACCTTCTGCTTACCAGTTTCAAAATCTTCACAAGCTAATGAATATTAAGCCAGTTTTTAAAGGAGAATATATTTCAACAAACTGTATAAAATATGATCACTAAACAATCTCTTACTTTAATGATTCAAAAATCATTACATTACATATCATTACATTACATATCATTAACAAAGTTTTTCTAAAATACATGTGTACAATCACTAAAGGCAATTAAAAAATAATTATTGAAGCAATAATATCAGTTACTTATGCTTAGGAAATATTTGCTCAGCTCGGTCAGGGTCCTAGCTCTGCTCCCTAAAATCATTTAACTGATCATTCATTTTTCAAGTGTTTATTGCCTACTGATTACGTATAATAATAGTATGCTAGTGGTAGAGAAATTTAGTCCTATACTCAGCGAATTTGTAGTCTGATGGAAGAGACAAACAATCAAGCAGAAAATAATAAGGAGAGATAAGTGCTCTCTGTAGAAGGAATCATAGTCAGAGCTCACGACAGGAACCAGTCTTGAATTAAAAAGAACTACACAATTGAGTCAGTGATCTAAGGGCACTCCAGGCGAAAGCACAAATAAAGGCATGAAAAGAACCTCTGGAGAACTCTTTCACTTACTGTTTCCAGCCCTGCTATCTTGCTATCAACAAAGTTCATCACCAGAGCAAAAGCTCCCACAAGTGAGCCTCTAACCAAGACGTTAGGATGTTCATCCATTACACTGTTCTTAAGAACAGCTTCAGGTTGCGGGGTGGGGATACTGAATGAAGGTATAAACTTCCATTTATGAGATAAGAAAGTACTAGAGAAGCAATGTACCACATGCTGGCTAAAGTTAACACTGGCGTATGGTATACTTGAAAGTTATTAAAGACGGGAACTCCTAAGAGTTCTCATCATAAGAAAAAAAATCTTTCCAGTCTTTTATTTATTTATTTATTTAGCTATATCAGATAACAAACTTTAAGAACTTATTGTGGTAATGATTTCACAATACATGTTACATCCAGTCATTATGTTGTACACCCTAAACTTATACAGTGCTGTATGTCCATTATATCTCAATAAAACTGGGCAAAAATACAATTAAAAAACCCCAAAGAACAGATTTCAGGAAGGATCCTAGAATGTTCCTAGAGAGGCATCAGTCCTTTTTTTAAGCTGAAGAATGTGTACTGCCTGTGGGTAAATGAAGATAGATGAAACTAGAAAAGCGGATAAGCAACAGGTGGTAAAACATCATATACATTATGCTAAGGAATTTGCAAGGCATCCTGAAGGTCAATGAAAGGTTAATCCATGAAATTAAAAGATGCTTACTCCTTGGAAGGAAAGTTATGACCAACCTAGACAGCATATTAAAAAGCAGAGACATTACTTTGCCAACAAAGGTCTGTCTAATCAAGGCTATGGTTTTTGCAGTAGTCATGTATGGATGTGAGAGTTGGACTACAAAGAAAGCTGAGCACAGAAGAATTGATGCTTTTGAACTGTGGTGTTGGAGAAGAATCTTGAGAGTCCCTTGGACTGCAAGGAGATCCAACCAGTCCATCCTAAAGGAGATCAGTCCTGGGTGTTCACTGGAAGGACTGAAACTTCAGTTTCAGTTGAAGCTGAAACTCCAATACTTTGGCCACCTGATGCAAAGAGCTGACTCATTGAAAAAGACCCTGATGCTGGGAAAGATTGAAGGCAGGAGAAGGGGATGACAGAGGATAAGATGGTTGGATGGCATCACCGACTCAATGGACATGGGTTTGGGTACACTCCGGGAGTTGGTGATGGACAGGGAGGCCTGGCGTACTGTGTTCCATGGGGTTGCAAAGAGTCGGACACAACTGAGCGACTGAACTGAACTGAACTGAAGGTCAAAAGGAAACCCTGAAAGACTTTAACTAAGGAATGGATACAATCAAATTTGCACTTTCGAAAAAATACTAAGGTAAAGTGTGAAGGATGAGTTGGAAAGAGCAAGAATGGAGATTATTGCAGTAATTTAACTCACACTACAAAGGCCTGAGCTGTTTAGTAACAGTGAGGAGGGCAAAAGATGGACTCAAAGGCAGGAACCCTAAAACTTCATACTAAATACCTGGTCAATATGATGAAGGGAGTGAGGGAAGGGGGTGAGGATGAGTCGCCACAGCTTTAGCACCCATTACAATTCCATTCATCAAGTATGGCAGCAGGGAAAGCAGACAAGTCCATTTGTAGATACATTACTTTTAACTGCCACCAGACACATTCAAGGGGAAGCCAGTATGGCTACAACAGCATGAAGAAAGGGAAAATAACAGGACATAAGGATACAGAATAGTCAGAGGCTAGATAACGTAGAGTCTTGAATGTCACAGTGAAGGTGATCAACCATCCCCATTTGCCCAAGACGGACAATTTTCCTAGGATGAAGGACTTTCAGTACTAAAACTGAGAAAATCCCAAGCAAACCAGGATGAGAAGGAACTGGTCATTCTAGTCATTGTAAAATTAATTTTATTCTGAGTTAGATGGAGACCCACAGTAAGACTTTGAACAGAGAAGTCTACCTAATATCACCAAACTTTATAAACAGTCTCTGTGACTGCAGCAGACAGAAGAGACTAAAATAAGGTAAGATCAGTGCTGGATATGAAGATTCTGGAGTCACCAGAATCTTAGTTAAAATGACACATGTTATTCAGTTATTCTGGAGATAGTACAGAAAAGGAATAGAAAAGACTTATCTATGACTGAGCAGAAAGATAATGGTAGAAAATATTTTAAGAAATTTTTCAGGAAAGTGAATGAAGAGAGAATTAAGAAAAAAAAAACAGAGGGGATCAACACACTGAAAATCAAGGGGCAGATTTATTAGAATTGAGGAAATAGGTCTTCTACCAAGGAAGGAGACTATAGTCAGAGTGATTTGAGAGATGGGGAAATTCTAGATGACTGCAAAGTCCAGATATGATCATGGTTGTGAGTGGCTGGAACAGAATAAGGTTACATGTCAGAGAAGCTGAGGAAAGGGGAAAAAAGTGCTAACAGGGTTTGATTTATTTATTATGTCAATGAAGTTACCCAGGAAATCAGTGGAGGCATACTTAGGAATGTAGATGAGAGCCTAAGTAAGGGTAGAAGATGCAACATCATTAACTCATCCATCACCAGCAACACCAAAGGTCACCAGTACTGACCTCAGTCAAGGACTCAGGTATATTCAGCTACAGACACTACTCCCAAACTACCTGGGAAATCAGATGTGAGAACTTGTCCATCCGTATCATAATTTTCTACCACCAGTGCTAGCGCAATGCATATGTATTTCTCATGCCTAAGCTAAAAAAGAGAGCTAAGACTTTGAGAATAACTACAAAGAAGAGAAATCTGCTAAAGGTAGAGATCAATTTTACATGCCTAGATTTCATCACCAAAATGGTTGTTACATAGTTCTAACATTCGTGATGGCCAGGAAGAGTGATGTTTCCACTCACACAGCATGCACCACGGCAGACACCCTGTACCAAGAGGATAAAGAGCTTCCAAACTTTAAGATTTGTCATGAACAGATACTATGCAAAGCAAAGAATAAATGTTTGTATGTGTAACAGGTTAAAAAAATTCTTTTTCCTTACCGTTCTGGGTCGGTGTTTACACCAATAACTGGTTTAAGTCTGTCCAAGACTTTACTTGCTGCCAAAAGCATTGTGCCATCCCCTAAAGGACATAAAGCATCAACCACTAGTTTTGTAACAAGTCTGATTGACAACACTGTGGACATTAGTCCTTTCAGTGATCACGCCCCACCCCATCCTGTTGGTTGCCAGTCTCCTCCACGTCCTTTCTACCCACTATTCCTTTGTATTCTCTCTCCAACTCTAATTCAGAATTCTCAACAGTGGCAAGAGTGACACTTTAGGCCAGGTAATTTTTCTGTTTTGGGGTTGTCCTGAGCCTGTAGGGTGATGGGCAGTATCCCTGGCCTCTACCCATTAGATGCCAATAGTAGCCCCCAGGTGGGAGCCACAATTCTAACCCTATCACTTCTTTTAACCAATCCTCTCCCTCTCTCATACCATCAGTCCAAATTCACATATTATTTTAATGAGAATACATACAAAGTGTCCAGCTTTGCATTTTTCTCCCTACCAAAAACAAACCCGTAAAGGTTTATAAAGAATGGTCACTAACTTAATAATACAGCTCAGGAAAAAAACAAGTATACTGGGACCAAAGAGGGATGGGATCTAATCTCATTAAACTCTTAAATTCAACTTTTTTTGAAAGACTGGCATAACTAAACTAAAATACAATTATAAACAATCCTATGAATCATATTTAAAGTTAAATGAACACCTTAAATATACACACAGAAACACACATGCACAGAACCTCACACTAACATCATCCACTAAAAAAGTAAAATGTTGTATAAAGCACATCTTTTAAAACCTGATCCTAAAAATCCAAAACTTTGTCTTATGGTAGGACTCTGAAAGCTTCATTACAGCTAGCTCACAGGATTATTTGGAAATATGACTGTTAAAGAGCATTTCCATATTTCAACACCTTTACCTCTGCAAAACTATTACCTCCTGCCGCTATGACAGCATCTGCCCATCGAACAGTTTCCTCATCATATTCTCTCCTCTTTACGAGACGAACCTCAATTCCCTCATTCCTAAGATAAAAAAAAAGTAAAGGGTATATAAAATGTCCACTAACATAAAGGAGTATGTTTTTTGAGAGGCAGATTATTACAACAGAGATGTAAAATAAACAAATTTATGTTTAGCTTTGGAAGGTCAGCTTCATTTTCATTTAACCACAACAACCAATCAACCATTAACTATAGGAAGCATATGAATAAACTATCCCAAATCTCCAATGTGCTTTAAAAACATCTTTTAAAGCCCTTGATGAATAGTAATATTAATTAGAATTTCCTTTTATTTTCTCTACTCTTCCTGACACTAAAATTCATTAATACAAAATGGTCCAAAAGACTAACACTTTGACAATTTTTTAAAATAAGAGGGAATAGCTATTATTTTAAATTCAACAAATATCGACTGCCAGATAAAAAGAGTGACTAAAACACTTCCTAATTTGTGTGTCCTCACATTGATTCTCTTGTATACACACACACTTATTCACTGACTCATTTAGCCTTTAATTAAAGAAGTTTCTATAGTCATAATTTTTAGACATTCAAAAACTATTATAAATGAACACCTATATAATCCACTATTCTGTTTAAGAAATAAAACATTATCCTACAGTTGAAGCCTGCTGTGTACAAAATTAACTGTGTAGAAAAGGCACTTCTTGGGCAGACCAAATAATAACTGACAATCTGAAATTTTCAGAGTAAAATTAAAATTTCCTTAAAAATACTCTAATACCAGGTCCATTAGCCACAACATAATTTTCTTAAAATGATTCTATAATGGCCATCTGTCCTAAAAATCTAAGTATCAGCTGCTAGTAAAAATTAAAAAATTGAAAGTCATCAATACAGAAGCCCACTTAACACCTGATCCCACAGACTTACCGTAAACTATCGAGAATGTGCTCTACATTTTTGGTGTGAATATGATGCCGCTCAAGCAGTCCACTGTAGCTAGAGCCTTTCAGCGCGAGCTATATTAAAATAAAACAAATTTTGCCTTATCACATAATATGTTTTACATATTGTATTTCTTTAAAAAGCCCTGTATAAGACAGACTGGGTTCTTTTGGGGTTTTTTTGAACATACATTTTAATGGCTATCTGTGAAACCCACAAGTACAAACTTGATTAGAAAGTCTGGTTCCAGAAAATCATAACGTGGTTTTAATACCAAGTACAGTATTAAGTTTCCTGAATCAGTATATGCTGAATCCTGAATGTAGTCAACGGGATTTCAAAACTGCATGTTTTACAGCTTCAGTGTCTTTTTCTTTCCCAAGTGGATTTTTTAACATACTGAATTTGGCTACTGAAGACCAACGATGAACTATTATTTTAGAAGGCAGTCATCTAAAGGTCATCCAATGACCTCTGTTCTACTTGGACTTGTAGCTCTCTTGTATTCCAATTTCTGAACTCTATCTGGAATTTACACAATCCAAACAAAGGGTTTGCTGGCTACTTGAGAGTGGATAACTTCTAGATATAAGGACATATGCTGCTGCTGCTAAGTCACTTCAGTCATGTCCAACTCTGTGCAACCCCATCCCTGGGATTCTCCAGGCAGGAACACTGGAGTGGGTTGCCATTTCCTTCTCCAATGCATAAAAGTCTTCAATAATTGTTTTTGCTAGTTGTTTAGAATACTTTAGAATGTCACTATCTTACCACTAATATTCTTCTAAGGTATATATGTTTTCTAAATCATCCACAAAGTAAAATGTTGAGATGGAAGTTTAGAAACATTCATTTAATCATCAAGTAAGAAATAAGTTCACTAGAGTGAATGCTAGAGTCAAAAAGCATGTTATTTTGGGGGAACAACAAAATTACAACTACTTACAGAGAAACTATTAAAGAAAAACAAACAAAACAGAAGACCAGCAGAAAAGATCTCCTACAATTAAGTTTATAAGAGGGAGCCACAGCAAGACAGGTAAGAGGTATGAGATGCAGCACAGTCAAGGCCCACACTCCTGGGTGGACAAGCCCCAAAGGCGGGGAAGGACTAATTCACAACTGCAGAGCTGCTTCCCAGGGAGCAAGGGCCAGAGCCCCTCACTGGCTCCCCAGCCCAGAGGCCCTGCTCTGGGAAGACGAGTCCCCGAACATCGGCTGTGAAGGCCAGCGGGGCTTCTAGGAGAACCAGGGCTGTGGGAAATAAAGGGCACACACAAAACTCCACACACTCCAGGACCCACTGCAGAAGCAACCATTTGAAAAAATCCTGGGTCAGACCCATCTGCTGATCTCGGAGACGTTCCTGAGGAGGCAGGAGGCAGCTAGTGCTCACCATGACACGGGACGCTGGTGACGGCCACCATGGGAAGCCCCTTCCACCACGGGCATGCTGGCGCTGGCAAAAACCACTGTGGAATCCCCTCTCTAGCTTATTACTGCTAGGATGTGAACCCACAGGCCTGCCGCCTAAAGACCTCCTGAGCCCATAGATAACCCCGGACCTACCCCTGTCCACCAGACAGCCCGAGACCCAGCCCACACACCAGCACGCTCACAGTAGGCCCCGGATCCCCAGGACCCAGCTCTGCCTATCAGTGGACCTGTAACAGCCTGGGAGCTGGCTTCACTCACTGGAGAGTGGGGAGGCACCAGTCCAGGGCCCCCTGGGCCTGGACCCCAGCTGACCCTACCTGCGGTCAGCTACTAGTGGGCTGACCCCAACTTCAGGACCTCCAGGACCCTGCAACCAGAGACTCCAGGACTGCCTCTGCCCACCAGTGGGATGGTGCTAACCCCAGGACCCAGCTCTCCCACCAGAGGGCAGGCACCAGCCTGGGGATCCTGTTGACCCCAGCCCCACCCACCAGTGGGCCAACAGCAGCTCTAGGGCAGCTTGTGCTCTCAACCAGCTGCCAGGATCTGGCCCCACCCACCATTAGGCTGACACCAGCTTGGCGACATCCCTGAACCCACAACCAGTCACGTCAAGAGCCAGCCCTGCCCATCAGCAGGCCAATACTAGATGTGGAACCCCTACATGCAACCACCTATTCCAGAACTCAGCTCCACCCACGAGTGGGCCAGCACCAGGTCAAGGGATCCCAGGGCCACAGAGCCAGCAGCCTCATGACCCAACCCCATCCCACAGCAGCCAGCACACCAGGCGGGGCCTGACAACCAACCAGACGCCCCACAGTTGTCAGCTGGCACGGGAGGGCCCATGCAGCCCACACAGGAGGCGTCCCTAGAGCATGCAAGTCTGGTGACCAGCATGTAAGTTGCTGACATGCAAAGGACATCTCCTAAAAAAGCCTGCTTCTCCAAGGCTAGAAAACATAACCAGCCTACCAAACACACAGAAACAAAAACAGCAAATCAGGAATAATGGAGCAGGGAGGAATATGTTCCAAATAAGTGAACAAGATAAAATCGCAGAAGAATTAACTGAAATGGAGACAGGAAATCTAAACCTGATAAAGAGTTCAAGGTAATGATCAAAGAACTCTGGAGATTAAATGAGAAGAGTGAGAAGTTAAAAGGTTTTAAAAAAAAAAAAAAAAAAAAGGGCCTCCCCGGGGGCCCAAAAAATAAAAAAATTGCCCGCAAAGCAAGAAAACCAAGGTCAAACCCCGGAGCCGGAAAAATCCCTTGGAGAATGGAATGGCTACTCACTCCAGTATTCTTGCCTGGAGAATTCCATGGACAGAGAAGCCTGACGGTCATGGGGTTGCAGAGAGTTGGACACGACTGAGCAACTAATACTTGCACTTCGAAAATATAAAGATGACCAAACAGAGATGAAGAACAATAACTGAAATGAAAAATACACAAGAAGGACTCGACATTACATTAGATGATATAAAGGGATGCATCAGCGAGATGAAAGATATAGTAGTGGAAATCACTGAAGATGAACAGAAAAAGTAAAAAAAGAATAAAAAGAAATAAGGACAGTTTAAGAGACCTCTGGGACAACAGTTGCAAAATAAATGAGTCACAAGTATGAAATGATTATGTGGTGATCATTCTGAAATGTCAGAAACACCAATCACTATGTTCTATAACAAGAACTAACACAGGGTCAATTATACTTCAAAACAAACTCACTCATAGAAAAAGAGATAAGATTTATGGTTACTAGAAGGAAGGGAGAGTTGGATGAAAGCAGTCAAAAGGCACAAACTCCCAGTTTTAAGATAAATATTAGAGATGTACAACATGATAATTATAATTAACACTGCAGTATGTTATATATAAAAGCTATTAAGAGAGTAAATCCTGACAGGTCTCATCACAAGAAAAAAAATTTCTATTTCTTTAATTTTATATCTATATGAGATGACAGATGTTTACTAAACTTATTGTGATAATCATTTCATGATGTATAAACATCAAAGCATTAGGCTGTACACCTTAAACTTATATGATACTGTGTAAAACTTACATCTCAAGAGTAGAATTTCTTCTTGTGAATTACTGTAATTCTTTAATAACTCATGCTTGATACATTTATTTAGGGAATACAAGTTCTTTCATTAATTATTTTCATAAACAATGTAGCTGGTTGGCCTACTAAGTTGTACTAGCATAGAGTGGCTAACTAGGCAACTAAGAGATAAGGCATTTTAAAAAATCACTAATAAAAAGCATCAATTAGAAAGTCTTATATCACTATTCAACTTGCTCTTATATTAAAAAACAATTCTATTTAATACTCAAAGGATAGTAAGAATTTCTAGCTACCCACTTGGAAAATAACAACACTTCAAAGATTTAAAAACATACTTCAATCAGACAAAAATAGGAACCCAGGAATTCTCTGTAAAACGTTTTAAAATTAAGAAACTAAAGAAATTACTGAAATTTATAATACATTCTCAACTCTGAGAATGCTACACTTAAGGTATCAGCATTAGTGACAAAGTTCTTAATGTTTTTTCCTTTTTTTCTCCAAAAGCTTGTTAGTTCTCATCAGCATTAACAAAAATGTTTTTAAAGATTATCCACTAAAATGGAAAAACTGGTGTGAACTTAAAAGTTCTACAGCAGACACACTTAACATAAACAACAGAACTTCCCCTATAAAATCTCCTGAAGCCAACAACACTTCTCCCCACATGCTCTGAGGTTAAAACAAAACACAACACAACATTAAAGGGGGCAGGGGGAAGGATTCTGAAAGGATAGAAATTAACCACACCTTAAAGCCAGAAGTGAGAGTCATGCTATTTTCCAAATGACCCAAACACTTCCATTAAAGTATCACAGACATCTTTACTTGACCAAAACTGAATTAAAATTTTAAGTTGTTTTACTAGTCAGATGAGTGTTTACTATTTTGTACTCCAGTAAGGGAAGGAAATATGTCTTTTCAAATTTAACATGTAAGAAATGCACAAACTTGTGAGACAATGACAGCTGGTACGTAAACTCACTAGGCATAATTTAAGCATTCTTAGAAGAATACACTTAACTAAATAGTACACCAACTACCATTCAAAACTGCCTTAAAAGGATTAGTGGCACCTAACTAACAGCTAGAGAAAGTAAACTATTTATCTAAGCCAGATCAAGCCAGCCGCAGAAAACTATTTCTTCAGCTATATTTAGTATTTATCTTCAATTCTTTCTATTCCATTTACTCTTTATCTCAGGCTCTCACCTTTATTTTCCTCATTGCTCTATTCCTGCTTCTGCATTCTCCTTAATTCTG